TCTAAGAATGAATTCAAATTATGAAGGAGTCACGAATATTTTTCTATTAAAGGTAAAAATGAAGAAAGGGCACTTCTTGATAGAAATGTGCATGTAAATCTGACTTGAGTAAATCCATTGGAATATTGGAAAGAATGCAACTTTAGACAGAGTTTGACTTGTTGCAAAAATTCTTAAAATTTTGAACTTATTCCATCAAACTTCTCAAGCATATTAATCTTTGTCCCTATCATACTTATAAAAACAAAACTTCCTAGATTTGGTTGTGAGGTCAATCTATTTGCTTCCTTCAACTGCACAACTTCTTACTGTAGACTCTAAACTTTTTCCTTGAGTATAGGCATAGTACTTCTATGATTTATATTGAAAATACGTGAGATTTTTATTCTTCGAGTATTGACAAGTTTATGAAGATTTGCAATAGTTACAAATCTATTTTTACTTCTACCAAGAGTAGCATCCATAATCTTTCCTTCCATAAATAACTCAAAAAAAAAATTAAAATTAAATTAGAAGAGGGTAATCCAAAACCTCTAATAAAAGTTTCTACAAAGAAGGATATTCCACTCTCTTTAAGGATAAGATTAGTATTTGAAAAGGAGATTTTTTGTTTAAAGATAGGTAGTCTACAACCTTTAAAATACAACAATAGAAGTGGCATAATCCATTGACTTCTTAAATAAGACAAAAATAGTATGTTAGCACTCTTATCAAAATTATCAAGGACATAAATTTCGAAGAAAAAAAACTTCAATATACTCTTATGTCACTAAAGAGAACTAGAAAGTCACTCAAAAGATAATATAATATTAAACTAAAATGACTATTGCCAAAAACAAAAAGACTAAAAAGTTTTAAAACAAGACAAAGGACTAAAAAAATATTGATAAGAGTGAAGAAGGCTTCATTCTTGCCTCCATATATACTCTTAACTAGGAGCTATGTCACAATGTCCTACAGGACCTCCAAAATGAGTTGACTTTGCAAGACACATATCTTAACTTGCAAAGCAAGTTTTTTATATGTGTGCCACATAATTAGTTTATTTTACAAGCTACCAACATATGATTAACTTGTTGACAAATTTTCTAACTTATCAATCAACTACAAATACATGTAAAGTCAAGCAGCAACTATGAAGCTTCTACGAAGCTATTCTAAAAGATTTTATGAAATGAACCTATTTTTATTTACTTTTACCTATTCCTACCTAATCACATAATTATTTATTAGAATATCTATGTATGTCCATGAAACTTTATTAGATTTTAAAAAGCTTTAAAAATTCTAATATTAATCCATCTAATCTTGGTGATTTACCTCCTTGCATAGCATTCAGTGTTGTTCTTAGCTCTTTAAGTGTAGTTGGTTTCTTTCAGCTTTCTTTTGTTCTTTCTTCCAACCAGCCATCTACACAATTTTGTTATTCTTCATATAGAACTTTTCATAACTCAAGTAATCTCTCATCACTTATACACTTTGCTATAGAAGGTTTGATATATATGAGTTATCATTTTTGTACTAACTTGCAATTGGTTATGTTCATATGTTAATTCTACAATATATGTGGTCGCAAACTGTTTTCTATATATGCAAAAAAAAAAAAAAAATATGTATGGCAGTTCTTACATACCTTCTTCTATTTTAACTTAGCTTGAAATTTTTATCCTTCTGCCTTCTAACTTTTGAATTAGTGTAGCCTGTCAATACAACTAGCTAACTAGCCCTAATTAAAGTCGTCCTCCAAATTTTGTTGTAGTCCTCCGATTGCATTGCCCAACTCACTTTGGAAATGATCTTCTTATCTTTGTCATTTTACCATCTTATAGATATAGTATACCTTATAATTTTATATTTTTTTTTTGATTTTTCTAAAAATAATAAAAAAAAAAAAGATAAGTGAGAATGCCAAATTTTTTTGATTTTTCTTTGGACTTCTTTTAAGGCTAAGTATTAGGCACTTGAGACATACCAAGACTTTTTTTAGTACTTGTTGCAAATAGATTTGCCTTCAATCCACAAGGTAGTTCAAATAGATGCTATCAATAAGAATCAAGTAGTCCACAGTGGTAGTATTAACATCTAATTTGGTAAACACATATGTGTGATCAAGGCTCACCATAGCTTTATTTGCCTCTTGATTCTTATTATCTCAATTGAAATGCAAAAAATAGACTATTAAAAGTTTGTTTAAGACTTATAGCAAAGATGTGAGAATATTAAATATTTATCATTCTTCCCTTGAGAGTAAAAATCCTTGTATGTTGGATTTATCACTCTTTTTTTCAATATTGTTCTAATCACCTATAAGTACCTACTTGGAGTCGTTTTGCAAAACTTCAATTAATTCTTTTTATAATTCTATTCATTCTTATATTATATGTAAGGCATATAAATTCAAAATTATAATTTCACAACTTAATAAGCTTTAGAGACAAATCCAAAGAGCCATCTCCGACTATGAAAAATCTAAAGAATCAAAAAAATGTAAGAGGTAGGGAACAATCTATAACTAAAAAAAAAAAAAAAAAAAAAAAAAAAAAACCCTCTCTCCTCCCTCGCTCCTTGCTTCATCCTTGTCTATCAAATGATTATATACAACCATGGCTTTGTTCCCAAAAAAGGCCGCCCTTAGCTAGAACCACTTTTTTAGTGTCTCCAAATTCAATCTACTAAGCTTATGTTCTTGAATGCAAAAAATATCAACCTTATGTTGATGTTGTTGTGGATAATTTCAAATAATTTTGACTTTAGCCAAGTTATTCATACCTTATATATTTTATGTGAAAATGGCTAGTATTATGATTTAGTTGATGGAAAAAATTATTTTCAAGGTAAAACTTTTGTAACTTCTAGAAGGTGTTTGTCTTCACTGCTTAGTGGCACAAGGAGTAGAGCTTTGGACTATTTTAAGGAAGACATTTTTTGATTTCTTTGTATTATTGATCAGCTAAATAAGTATATTTATTCTATGGATTGTGTCATAAAAACCATCAATCCTTGGCCATATAATCAATCTTGAAATAATAGGATTAAATATGCAATAAGCTTCAAATACTATTTATTGTTCACTTTTTTATTTGATGTTGCGAATTCCTTCTTCTAGGTTCTAATTCTAATCTCTATCCTTACTTATTTGTCTCTTGATCCTCCTAGTAATACTAGGTCTACTTAGATTCTTCTTTTTCAACTTATTTCTCAGTGCTCCTCTTTGTGATCTAAGCTTTCTTTGCTATTCAATTCATCCATTCATTACATGCCCCATTTAATTCATTAATATTCAAAAACTTTGATATATTAGATGAGGATTTTTGTCCCCTCAATTATTCTTTGTTGAGTCAAGTGGCCTACTGCAAACTCTATTATTGCAGATTTGTTATAACCACCTTATCTCCCTTAGTTTGGTTTTGCCATAATAAAGTTACCTCTCTATCTTTTGCCAACATACTCAAACTAAGTATAGAGCTCAATGTAAGTATATGTGGCCATTGTACCTTTTACCATGTTAGGCAAGAGAGCAAGTATTGTTGAGGCCTTAGATATCATTTGATCATCAATTATTTATGGGTTTAGTCCCACTTATGTCTTTGAATATGATTTGGCACCTGACTCCTTCCATGCTTGACCTTCACATCTTATCTTTTGACAATGGCTATACACTAAGGGGTGGTTTCAAACCAAGTGCTTGATGGACAAACAAAATTTACACTTAATAGGTAGATTGTTATAATCCACATGTACATGGATTGTTGTTTTTGTAACCGGGTTGAAGGCATTGATAATAAAGACACTTGCATTAATGCATCACAAATTTCTAATCTCCACCTATTTTATTATTCCACTTGTGAAGTAGTAGGAACCTCTAGGGCATGGTCCAAGCTTGCCTTTAGCACTTTTGTGTATTTTGTCATTTTAATTGGTTACCACTTGCCCAAGTTACTCGGCTGTTGTTGGGTCAGAAGAGCCCACTTACTTCGCCCTCTCGCTACCCGATAGAAGAGGGGTCAGACCCTACCGCACTCACTAACCCTAAAATTTCTCTGCTCTACCGAAGTGTCCCTTTTGCCGCGGTAAACGCTGAAGGCAGTCAGGGTGGATCGGGTGTTACTCTCCCTCTCTCTTACGATTGAGCAAAAATCCTACTCTGAACACTGATGTATGCCTTGCAATTACTCTCGAAGCTTACCCCCCCTGAGCGGCGGTCCTCTTCGGAGCTTCATCGTGCTCGCCCTGTCTAGCTTTTTCATCAAACCTCATTTAGAACTCTCCGTGTACCAAGCTCCTGAGTATGAGCGATGTGCGATGAGATTCAAAGGGCATCAAGCAAATAAATAATAAATTAGGACAGACACCAGAGATGTGATAGCAATTATTATGGATGTTTTTGTAATTCTTTGATGATTATAATCAACTATTACTAATTATCAACTGTTTTTGTGACGATCTCTTAGCATCCATGTTTCTTATTTCTGAAAGGATTTCACAAATCGCACGTGGGACCAGAGCCAGGCGTCACGGCTCGCAACGAATCTGAATAGTGATGACCGTCCTTCATCTATTACAGTTTTGTACTGGAATTTTTTTGTGGCTGCAACAAAATCTTGTTCTGGTCGCAGGCGTTCAATTATCCCCCAGAGCTGCCCAGTTTTAACCTCAAAATGGCCTCGAAGTAGCATGAAGCAGAAGAAAAATGTCCCTCTATTCACAATATGGTGCGCAGCGAAGGAAATAGATTTACGACGAGTTGGTGAAATTATAGCAGCAACCCAAAGGATGCACAAAAGTCTTCATGAGTGCAAGCAGCAACAGGGATTGAATGAAAGGTAGGTTGAGCTCAGATAGTGCAGATAAGATTGCAACGAGCCACCTGAAAACCTCAAAGGAAATAAAGGGATGAGAAGCGTCTAGACCAATCCTTTCGGCTGCATTTGGCAATGCAAATCAGAATTAAAAATTTAGCATGTGCAGTGCTTTATGCACAGAGTGCATACATTGTGGAGTACTTCATGGATGGTGCCCTTCATATATCAAAGATTACAAACAAGAGAATAGCAACGAAATTGCTGCTGGTTTATTCATGATTCAGATGTACTTCCTTGGTACCCTATTCTAAGCCACATATTCACAAACAGGACGCGTCCCTTTCTGTATTGTATTCATAACATTGGCTAAATAGTGTGTCTTGAGGAAGCATAGCATGCAATCATCTGCATCAGTGACGCTTTCAATTTCAACCAGTCTCCGACGCGATGATACCGTGCCAAATATACAAGAAGGTGACTCGAAACACTTTTTGCAATTAGAATCTAATGCTGTCTGGTAAAAGCACAGCAAACCAAGCTGCTGGTCCCATGAGGTTCTCATTATTTCATCCCACCTGCATCAAGCAACCCAAACTACAATAATTAGTGTCATGTTGGTTCAAAAGTTGAATTGCACCAAAAGCTTACGGTACCATGACTAAAACAGAAGGCGTCGAAGACAAACGAGATCCAAAGAGAGGAAAGTACAAAAGATTGAAAACACCAATGTAAAAGAAAAGCCTGATACTCTCAGGCACAGAAATATACCAATTAGAAGGACTGTTTCAAGTGAATGTGGCACAGGCTTTCCCTGGTGATGGTAAAGCTACACTTACTGATCTGCGATGATGATGATTCTCTTCTGATGATCAGCGTCGAGTGTCAAATTTCGAACTTTCAGTGCATTTCTAGTTCCTGCTGAGCTGCAAACATTAAGGCACACGAGAGCAAATGGAACTCACTACGTCTGCACCAAAGGGGTGCAATAAGGCATTTAAACTGCGGTGGAACAAAAATTGTAGAAGTATGAGGAGTAATGAATGCAGGATAATAGAGGAGCAGACCTGAAACCAATTACAGGAATTGCTGGGTGAGTGGACAAGGCTGCAGAAACTAAAACTGCCAAACCTGCTCCCAGGCTATGTCCTGCCAAAAGCTACTTCAAATCATCAGCAACGCGTACCCGCATCATTCAAAGCTCAAGACACTTATTTCAAACTTCCAAGGAGCTATCACATTCCTGTTCCTAATCATATAAATTCACACATCAATTATTAACGTAGTCACATTTTTCAACACATAGACAGCATTACGCTAAGATTGCCAACGCATTTCAATGACGAAAAAAGAGTGCATACCTGTTAACAAAAGCGATGCAGAGGGATACGCAGCAATCACCTGAACCAAAACCACAAACGATGAACGAGGTATTCAATAAAACCACAGAGCTATGATCAAGATATTCATGAGCAAAATGATCAAGATATTCATGAGCAAGATGATCAAGATATTCATGAGCAAAATGATCAAGATATTCATGAGCAAGATGATCAAGATATTCATGAGCAAGATGATCAAGAAATTCCTAACTGGCGTCAACATGACACGCAATGGATGCCAGGAACTGACGCTGCGGAACGTTCAACACATGACGTGAAGCTTTCAGACATTCTTCTATACTTAAAAGATCACCTTCCGTGTGTACTCAACCGCCTGCGAGAAATAGTCTAGGGTAGCTTCATCAAACTTATCACAGGTGCCGAGGGGGAGTGAGCAATTGTCTCCACCCGGCAGAGTCCATAGGAGCTCATCTGCACACATGTCAGCATCACAATCTGTAGTCGCCCCTATTTGGATGCCTCGAAATGCCACCACAATGCGACCTTGTGCACCGCCACTTTCTTCCTGCGCGACCAAAATCAAGAGAAGTTGACTTAGAGAGTACCCTGAACGCCAGTGCCCCAGGGCGCGGGAGTCAAAGAGCCATCAATTCCTAGGCAAGTACATTGAGATACTACAATACTACATCAGAGCTCCACACATTTCAAAATGTAGCGTCCACAACAGCACGGTGTACACCGACTCAAGAGGTAAGAGATGACGAAACCCTAAATAATCTGTGTGGATTTTGCTAACCTCGTAAACGACAGCATGCATTCCACCTCCGGCAGGCGCCACCAGTGCTACTTTCGAGGACAGAATCCACCTCGGAACGTCAATGACTTCAGGGCACCTATAAGCATTGGCACTCATCTGCACTAGGGGCTCAGCAACTTCGTCTCGGAATGCAGGGCCATCAAATTCAGCAAGGCCAGTGATAATTTTATCCCACCCGTCCTGTCCAGCTTCCGATGGCGCAGTTTGAATTAACAGGAGCAAAATTGGCAACAATAGCTTGGTGAGCACCATCTTCCCTCGACCGATTGCCACACCTGAAAGATTTAGAAAACCCGTCGATGAGCTGTGCCAGACAAGATTGAGAGCATGAACAGGGTAGTTCTAGCGACGACCAGTTTGAGGATAAGTGACAACAACACCCTTCCGCACAGAGTTCAAGCTTGCTATCAACGACGTCCATTCAAGTTAATTAGTTCAATTGGATGCTTGATTCTCGTACAATTCTATCCATATTCTCACGCTACGACACAATTCCATGGTAGAGACCACGTTCTAGTAACCGTCGTCTACACATTCAGTTGTCTAAAAAAACCCTCCAGGAGGTCAGCCATTCTCGTGCAGCATCATCACTGCAAAACCGACGGTTTCCGAGGGGACCTTCCAACGAGCAAGAAATCTCGAAGTGATCAGGACCAGGACCTCGCAAGCTAATAGCGATGCAGCACCGTCGTTGCGAAGGTTCCAATCGGTTTTGGGGCTGGGAGTTTCGGGTCAGGGAATAGATTAGGGTTGGAGATTCGGGGAACATTATGGCTATTCCTCAGTCTGCTTTGGGATTTGGTGTACACAGCTCGAGGTGAGCCGTGAGGACATGAAGAGTGAAATCATCAGTGAGATATCCATGTCGTCATGCGGCGCTTCACCGATTTGATCAGCTCAAATTGCTTTTCATCATTATACAGATAATTAATTCCTCCATCTCTCGCTGATAACCTTAGCGGGCATAGATTCGCATCGAACACTTGGTGCCTTGCAAGATGGCTCCATCTGTGTACAATCTCACGTGGCGACATGAATGAGATTCACTACATCATTCCAGATGCTTGCAGCGAGTATCTCGGAGAACGAAGCGATGCTTTGTGCATCTCCATTAGCCACACACGGCGACAGCCGTATCCTTCCAATTTACTGAAGACGATCGAAGGCATACGCTACTTATTCAATTGCTCGGGGGCTCGCAACCCTGCGTCACCCACAGTCATGAATATCAGCTGGGTTCCCCGATGTGCTTGCCCTGTTTCAAACGCAACCGACGTGCGCATGAAACCCAAAAGGCATTCAATGCGGTGAATCAAGCAGCCCAGAGCCCACAATCTTCCGTGTGTTTGACGATTATCACCACCACGTTCCTCCATCGTCCCTAGTACCATTCGGAACCCTCTCTCTGATGTCAACGCGGTCTGTCTCCCTTCCTACGCCAAATCAAGCCGCGTTGTCAGCGGCCTGCAGCATTCCACAAGATATGAAATCAAGATGTGAAGTAGTTGAATTGTGACGGTACCCGATACGAGCAGCACTCGTGCGAGGATCAGGCTACCAAAGTAGGGGGTAATGATGGACAAGACCTCACCCTGGAGTGCTGCCTGCCCATTTGTTGCATCGGTCTCTTGGCGGAATTGCTCTCTACCTACATCTCCTGACAGATCTGTGCAGCATCCACCTGGGTGCTTGTGTCTACACCCCCGGAGGTGGTCATAACTCTCTCTCTGCCCATACGTGCCACGGGTGTGCTTTGCAGAAGATCGATATTGCTTTGCAACCATCATCACCTCGCTCACACTACCCTCTCCTCTTGCCGCCACTGTCAATGATCCCGATTCTTCACGAGATTTGTTTGCAAGCACATTCGTATCAGAGCAACATTATCCGAAGCAGCACCTTAAGCAAAGTGAATAAAACAAAACAAAACTGGCTGCAAGGTTCAAGCCGTCACCGCTAGGGCCGCCACCAACTGAATAAGAAATTTCATGCCAGCTTTTTGCTAATAATATCACGAATGAAGCTTAAGTTTCGCGAGAAACCTTCTGTTGTTCGAAACACCTAAAACAAGATGAAAGACAGAAAGAATACAACGTGATGATAGTTGTAGCCAAATTCTCATTTCCATGGTTTTAACTTGCCGTCGGGGTATATTCAACGCTGCAATGTTTTACAACCACAATCAAATGAGCAGTTGAGCACTGTTGTATAGGGGAACTCAATTAGTGCTTCTACTGTGTGATTATGTGCGTAAGCATTCTTTCTGATTTTCGTGAGAGCTTTGGATCTAAGCTCAATTAAATATAGTCATAGTTTGCTTGCAAGTGATTTCAATTCCTTAGCATGCCGGGAGTTTCGTTTGCAATTGAATAATGCCTTTTCCTTTAAAATAAAAATAAAACAGCAAAACTACTTGCGCACTACCTCAAATATCAGCTATCTCCTTGTTGGCCGTCATTGTGAGGATCCTCATGATGTCGAGAGGGCATGGCAGCCTAGCTAAGATGCGAAATTGAAAATTTCTAGACTCATCTTAATAGACTTCATGCAAATTATACTTGACGAAGAACTCGAGATTCATATTTGATCGCAGTGGACTCAAGAATGGCTACATGAAGATTTGAGTACAACATTGCAGCCCACAATCGCTGCATTCAATAATGCATTTAAGTGAAGAACCGTTCCGACTATGATTCAATCGGAGGGTAAAGTTTTAGGTTATTCCAGAAGTTAACCCTACAATGTCAGGGAATGAATATTTAGCAAGCATCAAAATAAACACACACACACACACACACATTCACCTCACTAGTGCATGGGTCACGGTGGCAGGGACAGAGTGAGAGGACGCGGCGATGAAATAATGATCAAGGAATGGAGAAAAGGAGATCTAGCTGTCCCCAATGGAAGGAGTTATGAGAATACTCGTAATTTGCAACTGCATTGGGAAGAGGCACTTGAAGGTATTCAACTAAGGAGCATGATTATTTTCTGATGAGGAGCGTGCACAAGCACTTATAAGTGATGATTATTGTCATGAATTGAACAAGAACAAAGGGGTCTGAAGACAGTCTCCTTGTCAGAAAACACCAGTCTCTGCTCCAAAACCAGACTCTCTTCACCTCCACTTCTCCTGGTTCTTCTTCTCTCTGGAGAGCTCACCCACGTCAAATTAATCCTGTGCAAGAATGCATGCCGTGTGTGTTCCCAGCAATAACCTGAACAACCCCTGCAACACAGAAAAGCTGCTGCCAGTGAGGAAAGCTCACAGAGATGCAAAGCTGGAGATTAGTCGGCTCCATTCAATGCAAAGCCCACTTCGCACTCCTCAAGATGCTCCCCCCACTCATTTGTAGCTCACATGCCGTGATGGTATGCGGGGATCAGTCACCTAGCAACAGCATTAATTTCCCCTCCGCAACACCACCATCTGAGAGCCTCTCACTTGTCTCGGCTCCCTGGCTCCATGGTGTGTGTGCGTGAGAGTGTGTCTGCTTTCTCTGCAAGCATTTGCTCTTGACATGATGCTCAGCCCTTCTTTTTTTTAATATTTTTGCTGCTGAAACGCTGTTGAAGGAATAGAATAACAACGGTGGAGCTCCAGTCCTTCCTGGTATCAACTTCTGGGTTGAATCCAAAATCACTAGGGACACTTCAGTGAGCATAATCAATGAGGTAAACAAACAAAAAAAAAACAAAACAAAACAAAACAAAAAAGCTCTCCTAGCTGGTCGGCAAATCTTGCGGAACTGTGTGTCAGTGAATCCGCAGTGTTGTCACTAAATAAAGCCTCAATAAACAAATCAATTCAATAAAAATCTTTTAGGGTGAGTCATAACCCATAACCACAGCTGAGTTGCCTCATCATGATCCTGGTCAAGATATTGGCAAATTCGTGGCAGTCCCTTGTAATCCAATAGTGCAGAACTTCCCACAAGTTGCCTTGACAAAATCTAGCCTGCCATTGCAAACACAGTGTGAGGCTAGAGCTGCAGCTCTGCCACAAAATGGGACCATGATTTCACAGTCTGGTGGGAGCTCAGAGCTCATCATCATCAAGTTTGGAAAAAAACTCACAATTCTAACCCCCCCCCCCTTCACACATTCTGAAATTGCTAGCCCTGACTACAGTAACATCATGATTCGTGATCATATAATAGACACAGAAAATACATTCCGTCGAGCATTATATATATGATATGTATGTATGTATGTATGTATGTATGTATATGCATGTAGGAGTTAAAAGCTGCATGCACAATTAACAGTATTGCATGATTGTGTTTTCTGAGAATGGTGTGCACAAATCAAATTCACACAGCAGCTTCACAATAAAACTCCAGAAAGAGATCGAGGAGGTTGCTTCCAATAGAAGCAAATATTAAGGCTGATCCAGGTCTGGCAGCTAGGTGGCAATATTCCTGCAGATTTCATTTACTGAGTGGACCCTTCCACATCCCCCCTTCTATGTTAACAATTTCTTCTTTTTGTCTTGAGGTGTGTGTCTTTGAGCTGAGAGACCAGCATCTGGGAATTGAACCTTCCCTGCCTTGCCCTTTGTTCTCACCCAGCCAAGTGCAGGTAAAATTTAGCAAAGAATAAATAAGGAAGGAAGGATTTGCATTACAGCAGATTCCTGTATTCACAGCATTGATGGCTCTGTTACCTTAACTGTGCAGTAGTTGGAGAGGGTGTTTGTTGGTAGAACATTAGGGCATGATGGGCATCCAACCCAGTACTGCACACAAGCATCAATCCAGCCGTCACATAACTACACACTCCCCTCTGTCCAGAATCTGCATATTTAGTGTTAGTTGCATGATTTCTAAGTTGGTATTCATTTGATGTAGTACATATCCATTTCCACACATCCATTTGTACATCCATTTTCGTTTCTATTTTTTTTTAAATCACCACTTCAGTGTGTGTGTTTTTCTACATGTGAGTGGGCAAAAACAGTCTATTTGAGCAGTCAATACTAACTGGGATAGCTAATGGACAGTACCCAAATGTGGAAAAAGTCTTTTACATTGTAATATGAGAAGCCTTGTGTTAATGAGTTAGTAAATCATCACAAATCCCCAACTGTCTGTGTGCCCCCTATTTTGAAAACTCTCTTCCCCATTCATGTGCCACTAAAACACATTCTTCTTCTTATTATTATTATTATTAATAATACTGCTATTATCATTATGGATATCATTATTACATCAGAAAAAACAGTACTTCTGCTGAGTATGTACTCAGCCCCATGATTCCCATGGAAGTTGCCAAATGAAAAAATTTATCAGATCATTTTTAATCATATTTGTTTTTTGTTTTGGTTTTTCAAGTTCTTGGTTATGAATTGGATCATATTATGGGAGCATGCGCAACATGTATTTTTCTGTGATGATAATGGAGGGGGAGGGGGACGGGGGAGCCGGAGTCACTCAAGGCCCCATTGCACGAACACCGTCCAGGCTGACACAGAGAGAGGGGGGCAGGGAGGGGGGCTGGGGCTGGGGCTGTTGCATCATGTCACAAGAGAATGAGGGGAATGAGAGAGCTGTGGGGTGTGTCTTTACCCAAAAACCAAGCCCTGGTGGCTTCAACTTCACGAAAAGCTGGGGATGTATCCCACCAGCTGAGCTAAAGCTATAGCTAAGCCTATACTAGCTGCTGCTGCTGCTGCTACAAGTCAGTGTTGTGTGATTAGCAGAAGCATATTTAAAATTATTAATATGGTTATTGTTGTGGAGTTGTTGTTGCTGTTGATGTGGTGTGTGTGGATTTTCTTATTAAGAGTGCTGGTTGCCATTTGTTTTGTTGCTAGGCTTGTCTCCATCATTCCTTTGGGGGCCAGCACAAAATGCAGGCCCACAGAATTCCTGGGAATGTGGGACACTTCCAAATCATCATCTCTGGCAGGCCCTCTTGTCTTGCCACACACACACACTCACACTCACACACACACTCTCACAAAAAAGAAAAAAGAAAAACTGAATGGCTATCTCAAGGAAAAAATGAAAGAATGGAAAGACTGGAGAGAACAAAGAAATTCTGTACCTCCTCACTTCCCTTTTTGACATTCATCCTGAGGGAGGAACAAATGAAGTAATGACTGGAGACTGGGATGTGCACATGGTAAATGAATGATGGAGATTGGGAGGTGTAAGTGTGTGTGTATGTGAGACCTTTATTAGTTCTATATTTTGGGTTCAGATGAGGCAGGATTCTGTTTTTACATCTTTAACACAGAAATGCTGCACTTGTGGATGGCGATGGTCAGGGTCCCTCCTCTACCTCAGCATCTTCCAAACACACAGAAACATGAGAGAGCGAGAGTGAGAGTGACAAAGCATTGTCACAGAGAGAGAGAGAGAGAGAGAGAGAGAGCGAGAGCGAGGGAGGGAGAG